GGCAGGGTGGCTCATACCTGTAATCCCAGCACTTTGGGAGGCCGAGGCGGGTGGATCACGAGGTCAACAGATCAATACCATCCTGGTCAACATGGTGAAACCCCATCTCTACTAAAAATACAAAAATTAGCTGGGCATGGTGGCGTGTGCCTGTAATCCCAGCTACTCGGGAGGCTGATGCAGGAGAACTGCTTCAACCCAAGAGGCGGAGGTTGCAGTGAGCCGAGATCCCGCCGCTGCACTCCAGCTTGGAGCCTGGTTACAGAACGAGACTGTGTCTCAAAAAAAAAAAAGTTTTGGCCGGGCGCGGTGGCTCAAGCCTGTAATCCCAGCACTTTGGGAGGCCGAGGCGGGTGGATCACAAGGTCAAGAGATCGAGACCATCCTGGTCAACATGGTGAAACCCCGTCTCTACTAAAAATACAAAAAATTAGCTGGGCATGGTGGTGCGTGCCTGTAATCTCAGCTACTCCGGAGGCTGAGGCAGGAGAATTGCCTGAACCCAGGAGGCGGAGGTTGCGGTGAGCCGAGATCACGCCATTGCACTCCAGCCTGGGTAACAAGAGCGAAACTCTGTCTCAAAAAAAAAAAAAAAAAAAAGTTTTATGACTTACAGCGTGAACATGGTAAGAGCCCTCCAACGGAGAGGTTTCATGCAAGTCAAGGGTGGCTGGTGAAATTCCAGCACTTCAAGATAAACAGTGCAGCTCCCAGCAACAGGGACAGGTACCCAGAAATGCTGAAAAGCATCATGGAAGAAGATGAGTACACCCCCCCATCCCCAAGTCTTTAATTTGGATGAGACAGGACTTTATTGGAAGAGAATGCCTGAAGGAACGTTTATTTCTGAGGAAAAGAATGCTGAGCCGCGCCAATTCAAGTCATCCAAAGATCGCTTGATGCTGCTGCTTGGTGGCACTGCCGCAGGGGATTTTAAGTTGAGGCCCTTGCTGCCGGAAACCCCCAGGGCTCGGAAGGGGTACTCCAAGCCCAATTTGCCTGTGATTTTGCGCTCCGACAGAAAGGCTTGGGTGACCAGGAGCATCTTTCGTGAATGGTTCACTTACTTTCCTTGCCCTGCCATTGAAAAATACTGTGCCCAAAATAATCTCACAACAATGCAGTGCTCACACTAGACAATGCACCATGTCACCCTGTAAATTTGAGTGATCTTTCTGATACTGTAAGAGTAGAACACATTCATGACAGTGCAACTGACTCGATCCAGCCCATGGGTCAAGGTGTAGCCTCTACCTTCAAAGCTCATTACCTGAGAAGGACTTCTGAGCACCTCCTAGAAGCAACAGATGGTGAGGATACAGCTATGATCAGGGAATTTTGGAAAAATTACAACCTCATGGATGCTGTGGACAATACTGCCATCGCTTGGGAGTATCTCAAACCAGCAATAGTGAGCAGTGTGTGGAAGATTTGGCCTGAGTGTGTTCAGGCCCAGAATTTTTCCCAGGCAGACAACATTGCACAACTTCAAAAACACATTGTGACCCTTGCCAGAAACATGGCCTTTTACGAGGTTGCGGAGGCTGCTGTGAGCCAGCTGCTGAAGTCCCATGAAGAGTTCTCAAATGAGGAACTGATGCAGCTGGAACAGGAGCAGGGAGTGGCGAAGAGGAGGATGAAGAAGCTCCCTCACACAGCAGCAGCTAACCTGGGCAGCCCTCAAACACTTTTAGGCTGGCTTGCAGGTCCTCACTAGTCACAGCCCTGATGATGAGTGGGAACTGAGAGTTTCAAGAGCCATCAATAATGCAATAAACTGCTGCCAGGAGCAGTACAGTGAGAAAAAGCGCCACTCAAAACAACTCTATCGGGTCATTTTTCAGTGTGTGTAACCAAAACTTAATGCGAATAAAACAGAAGCCCCAAGATAGCCTCAGCAGTAGAGGCAGGGAGGCTGTTGCTTTGCAGTGTTTGATATCCTTGGAAATGTTGCCATTTTTTTTCATTTTGATACTTGAGAGTATCAATTTTGTCAGTAACACTTTATTTAAATACATGCTTTAAGGAGCTCAGTTTTTTGTAGGAATAGTTAGGAAAACTTTTTTTCCTTTGAGACAGGGTCTTGCTCCATCACCCAGGCTACAGTGCAGTGGTGGGACCTTGGCTCACTGTAGCCTCAACCTCCGAAGCTCAAACAATCCTCCCACCTCAGCCTCTGCAGTGCTGGGCCTACAGGCACATCCCACCACATCCAGCTAATTATTTTTGTAGAGAAGGGGTCTTTTTTTTTTTTTTTTTTTTTTTTTTTGAGATGGAGTTTCGCTCTTGTTACCCAGGCTGGAGTGCAATGGCACAATCTCGGCTCACCGCAACCTCCGCCTCCTGGGTTCAGGCAATTCTCCTGCCTCAGCCTCCTGAGTAGCTGGGATTACAGGCACGTGCCACCATGCCCAGCTAATTTTTTGTATTTTTAGTAGAGACGGGGTTTCACCATGTTGACCAGGATGGTCTCAATCTCTCGACCTCGTGATCCACCTGCCTCGGCCTCCCAGAGTGCTGGGATTACAGGCTTGAGCCACCGCGCCCGGCCGAGAAGGGGTCTTTATGTTGCCCAGGCTGGTCTAGAACTCCTGGGCTCAAGTGATCCTCTAGCCTGGGCCTCCCAAAGTGCAGGGATTACAAGTGTGAACCACCATGCCCAGCAAAAAAAAATGTATTTTTAAAAAGAAAATTGCAAAGGGGAGACTAGCCCTTCCAGACATTAAAACCTAGATGAAATTAAAAATATATATATTGATCAAGGGGACCACATAAAAATGTAAGCAAAATTAAACTTTTCCACAGAAAAGAAAATACCACAAACAAGGTCAAATGGCAGTTCTCAAACTGAAAGAAAATGTTTACACTGCATCTTACAAATAACAGGCTAATATCCGCAACATGAAAAACTCAAAAGATTCAGAATACCAAGAATCCAATAGAAAAATGGGCAAAAGCCATAATTCATAAATAAATTAGATCCTGAAACATATGAAGTTTGACCTCACTAATGATTACAGAAATGCAAAGTAAAATGACAAAGACACCATTTCTCACCTACATTGGGAATTCTGAATGGTGTGACCACACCTTCTATTGTGGAGGCTGTAGGGGAACAGGCACTGTCATACGCTGCTGGTGGGAATGCAGATTGGTACAACCCTTCTGAAAGGACATCTGACACTAATGAAAATGCAATGCCTGACCAGGTACAGTCGCTCAGACCTGTAATCCCAGCACTTTGGGAGGCCAAGGCAGGCAGATCACACCTGAGGCCAGGAGTTTGACACCCGCCTAGCCAACGTGGTGAAACCCTGTCTCTACTGAAAATACAAAAAATTAGCTGGGCGTCCACCTGTAGTCCCAGCTACTAGGGAGGCTGAGGCTGGAGAAGAGCTTGAACCTGGGAGGCGTTAGGCACATCTGTGTGACAAAACCACCACAGGTACTCTCCAACCAGTCAGCACATCCGTGACACCACCAAGGTATTCACCAGCCAATCAGCACATCTGTGACACCACCACAGGTACACTCCAACCAATCAGCACATCTGTGACATGACCACAGGTACTCTCCAACCAATTGGCACATCTGTGACACCACCAAGGTACTCTCCTAATCAGCACATCTGTGACACCACCACAGGTACTCTCCAATCAGCAAGTCTGTGACATCACCACAGGTACTCTCCAACCAATCAACACATCTGTGACACCACCAAGGTATTCTCCAACCAATCAGCACATCTGTGACACCACCACAGGTACTCTCCAAACAATCGGCACCTCTGTGACACCACCACAGGTACTCTCCAACCAGTCGGCACCTCTGTGACACCACCAAGGTATTCTCCAACCAATCAGCACATCTGTGACACCACCAAGGTACTCTCCAATCAGCACGTCTGTGACACCACCACAGCTACTCTCCAACCAAATCAGCACGTCTGTGACACCACCACAGGTACCCTCCAACCAATCAGCATGTCTGTGACACCACCAAGGTACTTTCCAACCAATCAGCACGTCTGTGACACCACCACAGGTACTTTCCAACCAATCGGCACATCTGTGACACCACCAAGGTATTCTCCAACCAATCAGCACGTCTGTGACACCACCACAGGTACTCTCCAACCAATCAGGACATCTGTGCCACCACCACAGGTACTCTCCAACCAATCAGCATGTCTGTGACACCACCAAGGTATTCTCCAACCAATCAGCACATCTGCGACACCACCAAGGTATTCTACAACCAATCAGCACGTCTGTGACACCACCACAGGTACGCTCCAACCAATCAGCACGTCTTGTGATACGTACTCTCCAACCAATCCGCACGTCTGTGACACCACCACAGTTACCCTCCAACCAATCAGCACGTCTGTGACACCACCAAGGTATTCTCCAACCCATCAGCACGTCTGTGACACCACCACAGGTACTCTCCAACCAATCAGGACGTCTGTGCCACCACCACAGGTACTCTCAACCAATCAACACGTCTGTGACACCACCAAGGTATTCTCCAACCAATCAGCACGTCTGTGACACCACCAAGGTATTCTCCAACCAATCAACATGTCTGTGACACCACCACATGTACTCTCCAACCAATCAGGACATCTGTGCCACCACAACGGGTACTCTCCAACCAATCAGCACGTCTGTGACACCACCACAGGTACTCTCCAACCAATCAGCACGCCTGTGACACCACCACAGGTACTCTTAAGTAATCAGCATGTCTGTGACACCACCAAGGTATTCTCCAATCAGCACATCTGTGACACCACGACCGGTGCTCTCCAACCAATCAGCACATCTGTGACACCACCACCAGTACTCTCCAACCAATCAGGACATGTAACTTCACCCCACACCAGATTACATTCAACCACCTGGATGGAAAAGGCTGTTTCTCCTAAACCTGCAATTGACTTGTATGTCACAAACCAGTTTCTCTTCTCTGTCCCCAATTCACCACACACAGCAGGCTACAGGACATACATTTAATGAGAGAGTGACAGCAGCATTGTTACAGGCCAGCTGGGTCCGGCGCTGTGGCCTTGCGAGGTGCTGGCGGTGCAAGCTGGGTCCTTGCTGGGCTCTTCCTGCGGTGGACTCAGAAACACCCACACGTGATTCTGTTTAGAGACTGTATCACCCAGAACAACGGGCAGGTGGGGAGATGCTGGGTGGAAGGTTTTTAAAAAAAAAAAGGCCCAACCCTTTGTCCAGCAAACGCCAGCAGTTTTTCTGTGGACACAGTGATCTGTAACTGGAATAATGTGATGCTGAATAATGTGATGCTGAGTACACGTATTTCGGCATGGCTGATATCCATATGACAGAAACGTGACGCAGTCGTTAGGCGTGTGCAGACCGAGGGGTGTCGGGAAACAGCATCTGGCCTTTCACTCCGTCCTCAGCCCCAAAGAGGAAGGGGATGCCAGACAGGAACCCAACCTCACATCACACTCTCTAACGGACTCCAGCATGTTCCCTGCTCACCGTTCCCCCTGAGGTAGGTCAGTACCCCTGCCCCCATTTTCCAGATGGGGAAACCGAGGCAGGGCAGACAATAAGAACCTTGCCTTAAAACCACCACAGTGGGGAGAGGACACCATCCCCTTCCTGATGGCGGAGGGGACAGAGGCGGCTCACTGAATCCGCCCTGGAGCTGGGCGGCCTTTCTGCTGGCTAAGGTGGCTCCTCTTGGGCTTCCTGGTCAAAGGGGACACCTACCAAGCAGTGATATTCTGTGTCCTCTGCCCACCATGTGCACCAACAGCCAAGCACAGCCCAGGGTGTGGGACCCATGTAACCCCTCACCCTCCACTCCCCGAAAACGACAGACAGGAGCACCCCTACTTCCCAGGGCAGAAGCCTGGGAAGCCACGTCCCAAAATGTCCTGTCCCAAGGCCCCTCATGGACCACAGGGTCTGTAAAGTGCACACAGCAAAGCCAAGTGTCCCACACCCAGGGCTGCAGGCCTCCTCTGCTGTCCAGGGGCCTCTGTCCTGCGGCGTGAGGGGCCTCCCACACCCCCCTCCTCTGATCTTCCTGAATGGGCTCAGCTGAGCAAATATTCTCAGCTCTTGACCTCAGGCCCCCAGGAAAAGGCCACTGGCCAGTCGTTTCCAAGCTACCCAGAGCTCATCACAGGCAGCAGGACACAGCTCCTCCAGGCAGATTTGGTTCCAAGAAATGCCACGAGGAACCACTGTAAGGTCCCACTGTCTAACCTGGAACTTCCTGCAGGCGCAGTCCCTGCTCCACACCTGGGGGCCAGGACATCCACCTCAGGCAGACCCACGGCCTCCTAGCTTAGAGCACCAGCAAAGGTGGGCTGGGCCAAGGCAGGAGCACCCAGCAGGGAAAAGCTCCATGGCCCGCTCGCCTACTGTTGTACAGAAACAACAGGTGACCCACTGGGCTGACCATGCAGTGAGGCCTTAGACCTTCAGGCCCCGGGTAGAGGCAGGTCTACAGGTGACAACTGTGAACAGCCCCAGCTGGGGACAACCAGAAGCCCCCAAGAAGGTACGTGGCTGGGAAGGACGGAGCCTCCAGGCAGAGTGGAAACCCACTGCGTGGGAAACTCGGCCCTGGGCTGGGTGGTCCATCCTCACGTCTCCTCAGAAGCCCTCTTGGGGTCTTGGCCTGACGAGGTTCCAGGGTGGCCAGGATGGGAGCTGCGAAATCTCTAGGGCCCAGATGCCCTGGCCCAGGGGTGTGGAGGGCTCTCTACCACGGGGGAGGTGAGATGTCCCCCATCTCCCTGCCCAGGGAGTCCCGCACTGGGGAAGGCTGGGGGCCACGTAAGGACCCCTCACAGGAATGCAGCCAGGCGTGGCCGCCCCGAGTCCCCGCACGCACGTGGGAGACCACAGTCCTTGATAATGCCCACCCACTCCGGCCCCACAGGGGCGAAGGGGTCCTGGGGCCGCACCCCAGGGGTCTCCAGAGCAGAAGGAACAACTTGACGCTGTCGAGGTGGGTCCTGGTGGCCCAGGCGGGTGCCCGGCACTCCTCCTCAGCCCTAGGCCTCCACATCAGCACCTGGCTCCTGGAAGAGCGACTGCTTCCTCAGGCTGAGCCGGGCACACTTGGGGCACGTGGTAGAGTTGTCGTAGTAGCAGTCCCTGGAGGCAAGAACAGGTTGGGGCTCTTGGCACAGGAAACACCAGCACTGACTCCCCACACGCGCTCTAGGTCAGCTCTCATCATCCCCTCTACAGCCATTACCAAAGACCAGAATCAGGCTCTGCACGAGGTGAGTGACTGTGGTCGTGTGCAGAGCGCCTACCCAGCGTGCAGAGGTGGCCCTCCGGCTCGTCATGTTACCGCTGTTGGCGACCACACAGGCCCAGTTCACACAGCTGAGGGGCTGAGCTAGGTGGCCACACCAGCCTCAGAGCCCTTCCTCACGATCCCCCGTTCCTATTCCAGGGTGCCTGGCATCTGCCTTGGCTCCTAAACTGTGTCCTGGGGCACTGCAGCTGAGTTCAAACTTTTAAACAGAACATGGCAGTGACTGGCATCTGTGAGACCTCGAGCACACTACCAGCTGACGGAGTTCAGTCTCCACCCGAGGCTCTGCAACAGTCTCCTCTGTGTGACACCATAGCGCTGCAGAGCCGGGGTTTCAGCAGTTACTACGGAAAATAGCAAATTCCAGGCAAAAATCAGGGAACAGAAACTGGCAGGGAGGGGAGTGTTCCACCTGATTCCACGTCTGGCAGACATGTGGAGCCCAAAACCTGCATACACATCATAGTAAGTCATCACACTTACTGAAGCATGAAATTAAAATATTTTTCTTCTAATTTGTGTATATTAGTTTTCCAAACAGCCACTAAATCTTTAGGACATAAGTACTTACAAAGTTGTTTGAACATAAATAATTTTCCCTGTGGCTCTAGTGGCTAGGAAAAAAGAAAGTGAAAGTACTTTTAGTATGAAAGTGTTAGGAGTTTCCTTTGGCTTAGGAACACTTTGAAAAAATTACCATGACATTAAACCACAAAGTTTGGGAATCTCTAGCCTATACTAACCCTCAAACAGTGATTTCAATCCTAGTGGTGAGAGGAAGCTGCTGGGAGGCTGTGAACACGTCAGGGGCGAAGCTGGGGCTGCCGGGGCTGGTCCAGGACGGGCCTGGGAAGGAGCAGCCCCCCAGCCCCCAGGTGCTGTCCTGAGGGAGCTTCTCATTCAGTCACAGGCATCACGGTCTGACTTAGCATCTCAGGGTCAGCAAAGATCCATCTCCGTCTCTCTAGGGCACTAGTGCCATCTCCCATGGCATCCTGCGTACCTGAGGCCAGGGGTGGCTCCTGGAGGACAGGGCAGAGCCCCACCCCCAAGTGCAGGGCCCCAGCACACCCACCTGTGGAAGACGGCGGAGCAGTCAGTGCACACAGACGTGTGGCTGTCGAACGGGAACAGCACGTCGCCCTCTCTACAGAGCTCACACACAAAGCCCTTGGCCTGGCACCGCTGGGGGAACAGTGCAGTGTTGGGGCACGGGAACATCAGTGCCAGCTCCTCTGGGCACTCCAGGCCAGGGACACACCAGGCTGGGTGGTGTCTCCTGCAAACCCCCCTCAGGGCTGGGGCTGGGGCAAGGCAGCCCTCAGGCAGAGGCCCACCTCACAGTCCAGCTTGATGTGCTTGGCGAACAGTGTGTGGATCTCGGTGAGCGAGCAGCCCAGGCGGCCAGCGTGCACATCCAGGAGGTCCTGGACAGAGTACATCTCGTCGTTCTCCACAAAATGCTGCCGGTCCTGGAGCTGCCAAGTCCCAGCAGCTGTGACCCCCCGTGCCGGGGGAGGCCCTGCCCACTGCCCACATGGGGTCGCACCAGTGATCAGGGCCCGGTGCTCACAGAGAAACAAGCCACAGAAAGATCTAGGCCCCATAGTAGAAACCAGAAGCCCCAGGAAGCCAACAAGGGAAGATGGACCAGAGCCACATTTCCTGACCCATGTAGACCCACCCCCACCCTCCACTCCCGATGCAGCCCCTTCAGGCACACTGCCCCCCCCACCCATGTAGACCCCACCCCCCACTCCCGATGCAGCCCTCCAGGCACACTGCACCCCTCATTCCCCACTCTTCCTGCTCTGCCTTGTCCACAGGGCTCACCACCCCAACACATGATTTATGTTTCGTATCTTCCCTACTTGAAAGGCACTCTAAGGGCAAAGACTCCTGCCTGTTTTGTTCACTGTTCCCAGAATCTAGACCAGCTGTTTCTGTTGAAGAAATGATGAGATGAACCTTAAAAACTGTGCTTTGTGGTGAACCTGCCTGAGGAGGGTGGGCCCCCCCCCACCGCCCGCCATGGAGATTTACATAAAGGCTGCAGGGCTTCCCAAACTGAACGACTTGGAGAACTCCTCTGTGGGCAGAATACCTGTTTGCCTTGCCCCCTGGGACCGTGCTTAGGAGACCCTCTGCTAAAGCTACGACATGCACAAGTTGGAAAAGCCCTGAGCCCGAGCTGCCTTGCCACCCCGGCCGTTCCCCTCCGGGGCCGTCACTCTGACCTGCAGCAGCAGACGTGCCTCCATGGCCTCCCTGCAGGTGAGGAAGTACGGCTTCATGAGCAAGATGTCCTGGCGCAGCTTCTGCAGACAAGGCGGGAGTGGGCGGACTCCTCAGCCAGGAAGCAGGGCTGGCCCAGCACAGGCTTCACAGCCAGCCCAGTTCACAGGCAGCTTGCCTCATGCCTGAAGGTCAGTTCCCCAGGAGGGGCCCAGGGCTGAGAGCTGCAGCACACGTCGAAACCACAGCTCCGGGTGGGGCCGGACTGTGAGGCTCACTGACCCTTCCCTCCCCTCACCTGGCCCCACGGGCACACACAACTGTCTAGGAGCCAGCAGCAGAGAAATCCCAGCTCCTGCCCCAGCCGTGGCCTTGGCACCTCAATCTTCGGCCACAGTCTCCTCCCTGGTAAAACGGGACCCAGTGCCTTTCACCACCTCACAGGAGACTCGGTCACTCCTGCCTGCCGGGACCGCAGCTCCCGTCTGCCCTTGGCTCCCGCCCTAACTCCTCCCTCGCCACTAGCTAAGAGAGGGGCCACCAGCCATGCACAGCCACAGAGCTCTTGGAAGTGGCTGCTGAGCAGTGAGATGGCCGTAAGCAGAGAATACACACTGGGGACAAAGACATGGCGCAGAAAAGAAAAAGAACATAAAATATCTCAAAAACGTACACTGATTCCATGTTGAATTAATATTCTGGATATACTGGGCTAAATAAAATACATTTTTTAAAATAACCTCACTTGTTTATTTTTACTTTTTTTGAGACAGAGTTTCACTCGTGTTGCCCAGGCTGGAGTGCAGTGGCGTGATCTCGGCTCATTGCAACCTCTGCCTCCCGGGTTCATGCCATTCTCCTGCCTCAGCCTCCTGAGTATCTGGGATTACAGGCATGTGCCACCACACCCATCCAATTTTGTATTTTTAGTAGAGACGAGGTTTCACCATGTTGGTCAGGCTGGTCTTGAACTCCTGACCTCAGGTGATCCACCCACCTCCGCCTCCCAAAGTGCTAGGATTACAGGCATGAGCCACTGAGCCCAGCTTTTTTTACTTTTTTAACATGGCTATTAGAAAATTTCACATTGCATCCAAGCCTGGCGTTAAGATTACTACTGCACACAGCTCCAGCACCTTCAACCAAAGGGCAGCCATGGCACCCAGATCACCCTAAGCAGGCGGCCTCCGTCCTCTGCTCAGAACCTCCCACGGCCCAGAGGAGAGGAGGGTACTAGCCCGGCCCTAGGGCCCATCGGACACAGCGCCCCTGCCTCCCATTTCCAGGGCCCAGCCTCACGCGAATCTCCACCAGCTCCTCCACGTAGTTGAACAGCAGAGGGTTGATCTCACGGAGCCTGAGCACGGGCCGGGACACCATCAGCGCCAGGTAGCGCATGCTGCCGCGGGATACCTGCGGGCAAGGCCGGGTGACACCTCAAACACCCGCCCAGGGCGCGTGCACCAGGGACACCCGCCCTCGGCCCCCGCAGCCAGCAATACCCACTGAGGGCACACGAGCTCCACACCCCACTCCCCCTTTCTGCTCTCCCTCTCCAGGGCGATGCCCCCACCTTCCAACCCCCACCTTTCGAGGCTCAAAGTCCCAGTTGTGCACCACGCGTGCGGGGATGATGGCCAGGTCGTTCCAGTGGCAGTGGCTGCAGTAGTACTGGCCAGTGTAGTCACACTGCCTGGCCTCGCTGGGCACACCCCCTGCAGGGGGCAGGACCATCACCAAGTCAGAGGGGCGGTGAGGGTCCCCGCCTCACCAGAGCCCCCCACGGCTTCCCAGCCTCACAGTCTGTCCTCCCATGGACCACGGCCCTCGGGGAGACAGCCAGCCAGGCCAAGGGCTCCCTCCTGACTCATCCCATCCTCAGGTGGTCCCAGCGTCTCACTGCCCTGTCTTCTGATCAGTAAAAGGAGACACAAACAGGGCCCCACTGTAGGGCTGTGTGGGGACTTGATGAATGAACACCAGCAACTCTCCAGAGAGAAGAGCTGGTGCACACATGTGCGTGACAACCATGTGATCTTCCCAGTCCCTGTGGATGAGGCTTTCTGTGACAAAAGGCTGCCCAGGGAGGCAGAAGCCAGGTCCCAGCCCTGCAGGTACTCCTCGGGGACCTGGGGGAGTCACAGAACCGCTGGAGCCTCAGTCTGCTTCAGCGAGAAAGAACGCCAGCAGCAGACCTGTGGGTCACTTTCCAAAGATAACAAGCAGGGATTGCCCCAGGGCCTCACTCCGCTGTCTGACTGATGGGCCCTCACACACCTGCACACCCAGCTCCCCTGCCAGGAAGAGCTCCCTCACCCTCTTCTGTCCCACCACACTCACGCAGAGAGATGGGCACCCGGCACTCGGCACAGCGGTAATCCTGGCTGTCCAGCCCGGTCTCAGGGCAGATGTTCAGTTCGTATTCGGCTTGGTGGCTGACTTTGGAGCTCACACAGGGCTTGGAAATGAGGTTCAAGCACTTGCTATGACAGCGGTAATAACACCCTAGGGTGGCGGGACACACACTTCTCAGAAGTAGGAAGGGTGCACCTGCAGCCCAGGCCACCCTCAGCCGCCCGGCCCCCTCCCCATGGGTTCCATTCCGAGGCCCAGATCAATTTAAGACCTCCTGGCACCAAGGGAGGCCTTAGAACCTCAAAGATGCTCTTGCCCCTGGCCCCTGAGCCTTGCCCCAAAGGTGGCCCAGATATTGTCTGTCAACTTGACTCACATGTCTGGGGTCAACCTGCCACTCCCACCCCAGACCCAATGTGTCCAAACAGAATGAAAAGAACTCCCGCCCTGCCCTCCCAAGCCCCTCAGCTTCCCATCCTGGTTTCAGCGGCTCCAACCTTTAAACATCGTGAGTTATCCTGACCCCTATCTCTCTGGGGTTTTTTGTACTTTTTAAGAGACACAGTCTTGCTCTGTCACCCAGGGTGGAGTGCAATAGTGCAGTCACAGCTGACTGCAGCATCGAACTCCAGGGCTCAAGCCGACCTCCATCTGTGCATCTAAAGGCCCTAGTATTACAGGTGTGAGTCACCACACCCAGCCAGACTCTGTTCTCATCTGCCTCGCTCCGTTCCCAAACCTTCAGCTGGCACCACACGAAGCTGCCTCCCACTCCCACCACCTGCCTCACCTGTCGGCCTCCTCCCCCTCTTCTCACTCACCTCCCTCTTCAGTCCTTGCTCAACCAGCAGCCAGAGTGACCCTATTAAAGCCCAAGGATGTCCAGCTCCCACCTGCGGCCCCACTGCACTTAAAGAAAAGCCCCAACCACCTCTGAGCCCACCTATCCCAGACACAGAGCTACAGCCACACACGGCCCTCTGCTCTGCCTTAAAGGCCCTGGACTGTGGGAAGAAAGCTGCCCAGGTGCCATGGCAAGAGACTGAAGGCACAGTCTGTCCCAGCATAATAAGTAACTGATTGCTTAGTTATAGCAACGATATGTTTACTGATTACTTATAGAAATGACACCGAACAGATATTAGATTCAATCACATAATCAAGTATATACTCAATCTTACTATATCATTATTCTCTATTAATCTTTGCTCTGGTGTAGAAACATTTTAGTCTTATAGTATAGACATAATCGGGTGAAATATAATTCAGAACTGAAAGGACAGTATGAGAAGTGATCAGGAGGAGAGAGTAAGTGCCTTGCGGTCGCGCCAGCGCCTGGGCAGGCACCCCCTACTCAGCAACCAGGCTTTGCGGTAATGCCAGCATCTGGGGAGGCGCCCATTATTTAGCAGGCTGTGAGGGGGAGTTTCCCTCTCATTGAGGAGTTCAGAGAACACTCTGCTCTGCCGGCTCTGGAGGACGGTCTGACACTAGCCAGCCGGCCCGCAGACATCAGGGGCTTAAACACCTCTCCGTGGAGCTGTGCTCCGACGGCCACCATCCTCGTCCACCTTCCCACCCGATGCTCCCTTGTAAATTCTTAGAAGCTGTGGAAGTCAGAGGAATCCTGAAAGCCTTTGCTCTCTCTGATAAGCACACAAAAAGACACTGAAGTAAGTGCCTCCCTTCCTTGTAGAGGCTGCCTGAGAGGGAGGGGCCCTCTGACCTGTACCCACGTGGCCCCCTGTATTATAAGAATGTGATTTGCTTGACCCCTACCAATCCTGTCAGATGAGTCACTCCCCTGACTCTGCCCCCCTGCCCTGTATACAGTAAATATCAGCGTGTCCAGGCCTTTGGGCCACTGCTGGCCTCCGCCCCTGGTGGCAGTGGACCCCGAGCCCAGCTGAATTCTTTTATCTCTGTGTCCTCATCTCTTTCTTTTCTACGATCTATCATCTCCACACACAAAAGAATGCCCACTATACCCTGTGGGGCTGGACCCGGCACTGGACACACCAACCTCAGGGCCCTGGTACACACAGCCACCCCCACAGGAACAGTCCTCGCTAGGCTCCCTGACCTTTGAGTTTTTGCTTCAAAGTCAGGTAATACCTTTACATTCTGCCCTGAACGCGCACGCAATCTACCCTAACATATGCCATTTCCTTTCCCTTTTTCTCCACTGTCATAACTGACACACCATGTAATTCACAAGTGTAATTTCTCATCCAGAACCGCACTGTCCAGGGTGGACAGTACAACTGAGGAAATGCATATTTAATTAATTTAACTTTGAGTGGCCACGTGTGGCGAGTGGCCGCCACGCTGGACAGTGAGCCTGGCGGAGGCAGGAGCTTGGGCCTCTCCCATCCCTCCCTCCTCATCTGGTCTCGGCTCACCTGTGCAGGTGTACCAGGTCTGAATGAGCCCCCAGATGATGGTGTTGCACTTGTCACAGGTCTGCTTGACACTCTTGCTCTTCTCTTTGTAGAAGCGGTGCTCCAGGAGCACCCTGATGTTTGGCTCATCCTCGTTGGGGTCCTGCAGAGAGCGGGTCAGGGAGGGTCACAGGCAAGCTGGGCTGAAGCTCCTTTCCCTTTGCACCAGCCCCTCAACTGACTCCTTCCAGGTACCACGTACAGTGGAGACTGTGAGAGTCAGCACAATGCCTTTTCCCGTTCACAGTAACCAATGATCAGCTGTGGAAGGCCCGCCAAGGTCACCCGCTACCTTTCCCAGCATCCCTTGCAGCAAGGTGCTGTGTGGGACTGCACAGGGCCAGGGGCATGTGAGTGGGAGCCATGCAGCCTCTCTGGGCCACGGGCATGTGAGCAGGAGCCATGCAGCCTCTCTGGGCCACAGGCATGTGAGTGAGAGGGATGCGGCCTCTCTGGGCCACGGGCATGTGAGCAGGAACCATGCGGCCTCCCTGGGCCACAGGCATTGAGTGGGAGCCGTGCGGCCTCTCTAGGCCACAGGCATGTGAGCAGGACAGATGCTGCCTCTCTAGGCCATGGGCATGTGAGCAGGAGGAATATGGCCTCTCTAGGCCACGGGCACGTCAGTGGGAGCCATGCAGCCTCTCTGGGCCACGGGCATCTGAGCAGAAGGCATGTGGCCTCTCTGGGCCACGGGCACGTGAGCAGGAGGGATGTGGCCTCTCAGCCGCAGGCATGTCAGTGGGAGCTATGTGGCCTCTCTGGGCCATGGGCACATGAGTGGGAGGGATGTGGCCTCTCTGGGCCACAGGCATGTGAGTGTAAGGGAAATGGCCTCTCTGGGCCATGGGCATTGAGTGGGAGCCATGCAGCCTCTCTGGGCCACGGGCATTGAGAGCCATGCAGCCTCTCTAGGCCACGGGCATGTGAGCAGGAGCCATGCGGCCTCTCTGGGCCACAGGCATGTGAGTGGGAGAGAAGTGGCCTATCTGGGCCACGGGCATTGAGTGAGAGCCATGCAGCCTCTCTAGGCCACAGGCATGTCAGTGGGAGCCATGCGGCCTCTCTGGGCCACGGGCATTGAGTGAGAGCCATGCAGCCTCTCTAGGCCACCGGCATGTGAGCGGGAGGGATGTGGCCTCTCTGCCCCTCCCGCTTTCTGCAGGTCAGATACAGGCGATGGAAAAGGAGGCCCTCCTCACCTCTCCCCAACACCATTAGCTGCAATATGGGCCTCAGACCACCTAGATTTTTGTTACCACTAACTTACCTGTTCCCTAATGAATATTCTACTTTCCACAATCCCAGGGACTCATGAGTCAGCACAGGGGACCCAGGGCAGCCAGGCCAAAGCACAGGCAGACCCAAGACCTGCATCAGGGGTATCTGTGGCTTGGGACCCATCACCTTCTGTCGTCACCTTCAGGACACCACCACTCCTTGTCTAGGTCATGTTCAGGGAGGAACTCAGCCCACCCACTCGCTTCAGTGGGTGGACACATAGCCCAGAACTAGCCAATCAGCCACCGTCATTAGGTCAGGGGGTGCACCAATGACCCAGAACTAGCCAATCAGCCACCGTCATTAGGTCAGGGGGTGGGCCCATGACCCAGAACTGGCCCATCAGGCCCATCTAGACTGTCATCAGGTCAGGGGTGGGCCCATGACTGGCCAGTGAAACTCAGGCCTGAGACTCCTGCTATAACCACAGAAAAGGCAGTTGTCACCACCCAGGGCAGCCCAGCTGCTGGAAAGCAAGGTGCAGTGCGGGACGGTCTCTGCCACCACCACGTGCTGGATCAGACACGGAAAGTAGAGCTGGGAGATGAGACTCCTGACATCGGAGGGTCTTCCAGTCACCAAGCAAATACATTTTTCTTTTTGGTTTAAGCTACTTAGGGGGTTGGGTTTTTGTTGCTCGAAATAAAAGGGTCTAGACTAATAGAGAAGCCTCCCATGGTTCTGTTCGGAGAAAGGCCCATCTTCCACCCTGCCTGTCTAGTGTCTTTCTACCTCAGCCCCTCAGGCTGAGAGGGTGCACTGCCTGAGAGAGAGCCAGAGGCTGGTGGGGGCCTCCTGGTCCCAAAGGCCTGGCCTCAGCCCCAGGCTGCCCCATGATGGGGTGGGCCTACACCCACCTTCAGCTCCTGGAGCTTCAGCCGGAGGTGGATCAGCCGCACCACGGCATCCTTCTGCTTCTCCGACTGCTCGGGCAGCTCCAGAATCACCTGCTTGCAAGCCTCAATCGCCTGCTGCAGCTGCTGCACATCAGAAGCCAGGAACAGACCCTGCCCAGGTTGGGGTGGGGGGAGTCAGATCAGATCCTTCCCAGGTTGGGGTGGGGGGAGTCAGATCAGACTCTGCCCAGGTTGGGGTCGGGGGAGTCAGATGCTCACACTGCAGGCTCTCCCTGTCAAGTCCCATCCTTCGAGACAGGCCCAGGGCAGACCCCGACACCCCTCACCCAGAGAAGGAAACTGAAGCAGAGGGCCGCGAGGACTCACTCAAGGGCCACCCCGTGCACCTGCTCCCCCCTGAAAACCTAATGTGTGAAAGATGCTTTTCAAAAGACAACTTCCTTCTTTAGAAATCCAGTTGCTTTTTCCGCTCTGTCACTTCGGTTACTTCTCGAGCTTCCTCTTGGAGGAAGGCCAGGGCAATGACATTTGCTGTTATGAAGGAGAGTAAGTAGCCTCAAGCTTAACTGCCAAGCCCAGGCAGGTGCCAACACCCCAGAACTTCCGGCTGCTTTCTCCACATAGTGGCCAGGGGGCTCCTCAGGGCCCAGGAAGACCCCAGACTCAGAACACTCTGGTGCTCCCGGGGAAGACGAGATCGGGTCTCGAAGCTGAGGAGCCTGGGCTGACTCTGCCCTCGGGAGCCTCCTCCTCCTCCAGGCTGCTGGGCTCTGAGGCCCAGGCAAAGAGGAGGTGGCACCCTCCTCTCTCCCAGTCTGTGGCCCCAAAGCAAGTGCTCAAAATGTGGTAGTAAATAAAACAAGCTGAGCACAGTGAGTCACACCTGTAATCCCAGCAGTTTGGGAGGCCATGGTGGGAGGATCGCTTGAGCTCAGGAGCTTGAGAGCAGCCTGGGCCACAAGGCGAGACCCCATGTCTGTGTAACAAAGTTTAAAAATTATCTGAGCATTGTAGTGCACACCTGCAGTCTCAGCTAATTAGGAAGGTCAGGTGAGAGCATCACCTGAGCCCGGGAGGTCGAGGCTGCAGTGAGCCACAATCGTGCCACTGCACTCCAGAGCCGGGCCACAGAGTAAGACCCTATCTCAAAAAAAGAAAGAAAAAAAAAGATACTCAATTTGATTGGATTAAAGGAAAAGAAAAATAAATAAACAAAGATACTAAACACATATATGAAGTCCCCCTACATGGGCAAAGCTTAAAGGCCACACACAAAAGGAACAGTGAATTAGAATGGGGAGGTTCTGACCAAATCTTTTCAGTTACATTTTAATGTTATTATAATGTTTCTCTCACAAGTTGGAGACAGTTTGCAAAAAAGGTTTTCAAAGGATTTTTAAAAAATCCTTATGGCCACCAGGCGCGGTGGCTCACGCCTATAATCCTAGCACTTTGGGAGGCCGAGGTGGGTGGATCACCCACCTGAGGTCAGGAGTTCAAGACCAGCCTGGCCATCATGGTGAAACCCCATCTTTGCAAAAAAAAAAAAGAAATCCTTACAGGCTCCCATTTTCTTCTTCAAAGCAAGGCTTCCAAGGAAGAACACACAGAGAAAGCAAAGGGCCCTGTGACGCTGACCGGTCAGGAGGAGGCAGACAGGGGCTTCTCCCTTACCTCCTGCACCCCTTTCCCTCGGCACCAGGGTCTGCAGGACCCCAAGGACCCCAGAGGGAACCGACTCTCATATTTGCTTCATGAAGACAAGAAGCTCGGGGGAGAGGAGCAGCCCCAGGTTCAGGAACTGCAATCCAGGATCTCCACCTGCCTCACACAGGCTCCGAGGGTGGGGGTCTGGGGTGTCACACAGGCCTCAGATTCTAAGCCAGGGGCCCTGGCTGAGGTGGGGGCTGCACCGCAGCTCACAGGGAGCTGCGACAAGGAGCTCCCTGCCACCTGGGAGCAAGTGACAAGGAAACTGCTGGCCCTTCCTGAGGGCTCACTCAGTCCCTCTCCCCTCCCACATCCGAAACCTACCACAGGGCGGGAGAAGTGGTCCTCAGACAGGCCGAGATCCATCACACGCTCAGCGCAGCGGAACTCCGGCTCTGCAGGGGGCAGCTCCGGCAGGGCCTCTGGGGGAAGACCGGGACAGGTATGGAGGGTCAGCTGCTGCCTCCTGTCTCCCGTCCCCAAGGGAGGAGCTGGGACAGCAGGAGTGGGAAAGGGATTCAGGAAGCAGCACAGAGAGCAGGCACTGAGGGAGCTGGGTACCCCTCAGACCTGCACATCTGCTTCTCATGCAGACAGGAAAGAGCCATTCGAGAAGAGGAGGTGGAATGATACTCGGTGCTAAAAGGGCCTCAAGATGGCATTACAGAAACATCCCCATTCCCAAGGCGGACACCTCATGCATGAACATGGGGATGACAGAAAACCCACGGCTGGCTACACGGCAAAATCCACTAACGCCAGGGCCCACGCCAGCCCGTCCCTGCGGTTGCCCCGCCCCAGCACTCCCTGATGACCTCATCAGCAGGTTCTGGGGCTGACACCATCCTGATGCCAAGAGGCTAACCTCTCCCTCAGTGCTGAGCTCACTCAGCCAGCGTTCCCTGAGCACCTACTGTGTGCGGGGCCCAAGGATACAGCAGTGATGAGTCAGGCACAAATCCTGCTGTCAGGAGTGCAAATTCTCGTGGGCACACAGAAGCAAACCACAGAACCACAGAACACGTGGGAACAAGAAAACAGCCAGCAGGTGCCGGCTCCGTGGGAAAGGCAGGACCGCACAGGAGGCAGCAGGAAGAACAGGGGTCCATGTAAGTGGCCAGAGACCTTCCCAGCTCCCACCCCGACTCCCGCCAGCACCCACCTTCAGGTGTGGCTTCCGGGGCCTCCTCTCCAGGGCGCTGCTCATGCTGTCTCGGTCCCAACTGCTTGTTGAAGGGGTTGAGGTGGGCCTGCCGGAAGCGGGCCAGCTTCTCATCATATTCCATAGCATTCCACCTGAGAGCCAGGTAGGGACAGGATGAGTCCCAAGTACCAGGCTCACCACGGACCACCTCCTCTCCCCAGCCACACTGGAGTTTCTGGGGTGAGGTAGGCCTCGTTCGCTTCCATGAAGCGGGTGGTCCTCAAACCACACAACCTCCATCTCAGCCTCTTCCTGAAACACCTCCAGTGCCCTGCCCAGGCCCCCATTGGTGGTGTCACCTTAGGAAGAGCTCACGGTGACAATAAGAATTCCATGATAGGAGAGAGGCACGTGGCCCACCTGAGGGGCCCAGCTCCCGCCCCGAGCACAGGGTCCTCCAGCCCCAGACACTGAAGAGTCCCAGCCCTAGAGCTACTATGGGATCCTCTCCGGCCTCCCCTACTCACTCAGCCCTGGCCCAGCTTGCTGTCCACCTGCTCCCGTGAGACAGACCTCCCAGAAATGGTTGCTCCTTCCTGGGCCCCAACTGAAATTGCTGCTTTCCAGTCAGAGCACCCCAAAATCGCAGCCCCTGTCTCAGGGCTCAGGGTTGGACACTTGGGGACAGTGCCAGGCCCATTCCTACTCAGCCACATATGGGTGAGCAGCGCCCACCTTTCCCATGCCCAGGAAGGGAATCTTGGGAGAAGCCCCACACACGCATCCAGGCTCTCTGGCCTGGCTCTGATCCTGGATGTGTGACACAACCCGAGCCAGGCCGCCGGCTCTGCGCCTCCAGAGCCCCAGGAAACAGTCGGGAAGGGCCTAGTTCTCCATGGGGCAGAAGTTGAACATCAGGAACGGCTCCTTCCTGGCCCTCAGGCTCAGAAAAACTGCAAAGCACACAGGACTGATGGCTCCTGGCAGGGATGAAGGCACTTTGGTTGGGTGGGAGGAGAGGCCGTTTGCATGCCGCCCTCCCAATCAGCTTCCTGGGCCACGTTCCTTAGCCTCTCTGCCTCCATTTCCCCATCCGTAATGGGCCATGGTGAGGGTGAAATGAGCTACAGAGACTGCACAAAACAAGCTCACAGTAAGGTTTGCTGATGTTACAGGAAGTCTTCGGTAGGGGCATCAGTACTGGCTACACTTTCACTGTGCTTGCTACGGTCTGAAATAATTCACAATTGTAAAAAACAATCCGATGGTTTATTCTCTGTCCCTTCTCCCAAAAGAAAGAGAGCTGAGCCCAGAGGAGACAGCCCTGCTCAGGGTCACGCTGTGGCCTCGGGGAGCTGGGATTTGAACAATTGCCTCACTGGCAGTGGCACATGGGAGGCTACCCCAACCCCACATGCCTACGCTGCCACTGGGCGAGACTCCACCCCATCTATGGGACCAGTCCTGCCTGCTGTACCTGTGGGGCAGGAATGTGGGTGGGGCACCTGCACTCCAACCTGGAAGGACCCAGCACCCCGGACCAAAACAGGGAGGTGCTGGGAAGACAGAGGGGGCATGGCCCTAGTCCCACCTCTTTCTCTTATTACCTTATTTCTCTTATTACAGAGTCAGAGGTGGCCAGCACCTCCCCAGTCTCCCAGGGAGCACCCAGGACACAGGAGGAGTCAGGCCATCTGACATCACGCCTCCTCCTTCCTGAATGGGGTGCCTCATTTTTGTTTGTCACATAATTTCCCAGCCTCCCCTGCAGATAGACCTGGTAATGTGACTGTGTTCTGAGCCCCTGGGCTTAAGAAGATCAGGTAGCTCTGAGCAGCTCTGAGCTCCTGGCTTCACTGACATAGACAAGTCCTCAGCCCTTCCACCCGCCCCAGGAAGGTGTTCTCCTAATTTATAGGCAAGAAAATGAAGAAGCAGAGTCTGAATCAGGGCTATCTGAAATAACAGTAATGGGCCAGGAGTGGTAGCTCACACCTGTAATCCGAGCACTTTGGAAGGCCAAAGCAGAAGGACCACATTAGGCCAGGCTCAATGCAGTGAGAACCGATCTCTAGGGAATGTAACATACATATATGTATGTGTGTGTGTGTGTATATATATATATGTATGTATGTATGTGTATATATGTATGTATATATGTGCATGTATATATGTATGTATGTGTATAGGTGTGTGCGTATATATGAAAAAAAAAGAAAAGAAAGACTTCTGAGATTTGCCCTTTTTTTTTTTTTTTGAGACAGAGTCTTTCTGTAACCCCAGGCTGGAGTGCAGTGGTGTGATCTCGGCTCACTGCAACCTCCACTTCCCAAGTTCAAGCAATTCTCGGCCTCAGCCTCCCAAGTAGCTGGGATTATAGGCACCCGCCACCATGCCCAGCTAATTTTTGTATTTTTAGTAGAGATGGGCTTTCACTATCTTGGCCAGGCTGGTCTCCAACTCCTGATCTCGCGATCCACCTGCCTCAGGCTCCCAAGGTGCTGGGATTTGTAATCCATGAGACACTGCCCCCCATCAAGACTTGTCATTAAAGGTCAAGGCTGCCCCTCTCTGGCCATTCGCACATGTTGCTACGTGGGATACAGACGTAAAGGCTGGGGCTGGAGCAGCCACACTGGGCTGTGACATAAAAGCCAGGCATGAGGATTGCAGTGACAGGACTGCAGGGGACGCTGCCTGAGCCCTGAGGCTCACAGCCAGGCTTCACTCGAGTGAGAGGAATATGGTATTCCCACCCCTGTTATTGAGCAGGATGTTTTTGTCTCTTACAGCCAAAATAGATTCCGACTGAAAGGCCAGAGCAGTGGCTCACACCTGTAATCCCAGCACTTTGGGAGGGCTAGAAGGTGGATCACCTGAGGTGAAGAGTTCGAGACCAGCCTGGGCAACATGGGGAAACCCTGTCTCTACCAAAAATACAAAAAGTAGCCAGGCATGGTGGTGGGCACCTGTAATCCCAGCTACTTGGGAGGCTGAGGCAGGAGAATCACCTGAACCCAGGAGGTGGAGGCTGCAGTGGGCCAAGATTGAGCCACTGCCCTCCAGCTTGGGTGACAGTGATACTCCATCTCAAAAACAAAAACAAAGGCCAGGCACAGTGGCTCACGCCTGTAATCCCAGCACTTTGGGAGGCCGAGGCGGGCAGATCATGAGGTCTGGAGTTTGAGACCAGCCTGACCAATATGGTGAAACCCCATCTCTACTAAAAATACAAAAATCAGCCAAACGTGGTGGTGTACACCTGTAATCCCAGCTACTCAGGGGGCTGAGGAGGGAGAATCGCTTGAACCCTGGAGGCGGAGGCAGAGCTGCAGTGAGCCAAAGAAAGATTCTGACTGATGATGCCAATTGTTTATGGTAATAAGACAGACACGCCCAACCCGAAGCCCCTCTCTTCCAGTTCCCAGCCCTGTGACCTTGGGTAAACAGATAAACCTTTCTCTGCCTCCATTCTCTCTGTCTCAAATGCGGATGACAATAGTACCGTACAGGGTTATTGTAAAGCTTAAAACAGTTAATACTAAGTTCAGAGAGCAGAGAGCACTGCCCAATAAATACTGCTTACAACTTATCATTATTACTTTGTTTCGGTTTTTTTTTTTTTTTTTTGGAGACCGTGTTACTCTGTCAGGCAAGCTGGAGTGCAGTGGTTCCATCATAGCTAACGCAGCCCAAACTCCTGGGCTCAAGGGGTCCTTCCGTATCAGCCTCCCAAGTAGCTGGGACTCTAGGTGCGTGCCACCACATCCAGTGAATTTTTTAAAAGTTTTTGTAGAGACAGAGTCGCCATCTGATGCCTAGTCTGGTCTCAAAATCCTGGCTTCAAGCAATCCTCCTGCCTCTGTCTCCCAAATTGCTGGCATTATAGAAGTGAACTCCCATACCTGGCCTATTACTATTATTTTTAAGAATCATGGCCCGGAGTGGTGGCTCACGGCTATAATCCCAGCACTTTGGGAGGCTGAAGCAGGTGGATCATTTAAGGTCAAAAGTGCAAAACCAGCCTGACCAACATGGCAAAACCCCGTCTCTACTAAAAATACAAAAAATATTAGCTGGGCATGGTGATGCACGTCTGTAATCCCAGCTACTCAAGAAGCTGAGGCAGGAGAATGGCTTGAACCTGGGAGGTGGAGGTTGCAGTGAGCAGAAATTGCGCCACTGCACTCCAGCCTGGGCAATACAGAAAAACTCAGTCTCAGAAAAAGAAAAGAATCAGCCCTGATTTAGACTCTGGTTCTCCATTTTCTTGCCTATAAACCAGGGAGAACGTGTACTTCCTGAGGTGGATGGAGGGCTAAGGGCTTGCTACATCAGTGAGGCCAGGAGCACAGAGCTGCTCAGAACAGACTGCACTGTCACACACACCGTGACCAGCGCAAGCGAAAGGGTGCAGAAGCGAAGCCCGGGCAGCCCCTGGAGACCTCCTTGTGTTTAAAGTGCAGCCAGAGGAGCTGAAGGCAGGTGCCCTGGCGGCGACACCGCTGCTCTGCCCAGAGCTGTCCTCTGGGCTGTAAAATAAGCCTCTTTTATTTGCCTAGTGAAAGTCCGTGCCAGCCCCAGGCCTGGCGCACAGCAGGGGAGGAACGAGGGGAGGCCTCAGGCCTGGGGACTCGGAGCAGAAGGCCGGCCTCCCCTCCCAGCAGGCTCACCCCACCAGTGCTGCACCCAGATGTCGGCGGGGCCCCAGAAAGGCGCCGGCAGGAAGACGGCGAGCGTAGAAAGAGGCCTCGCTGCCCTGCCCCTTCTCGGGTTCGAACCCACCGCTCAGCGCAGAGAAAACAGAGGAAGCAGGCGGGGCTGGGGCGCGGAGGGGGCCGGGGACACTCGGGGTGCGTGGGGCTGGCCCCGCAGTGACCGCCGGGACGCGGCGTCGCCCCTGCAGCTGCATCCCGAGAGCCTGGGAACGCCCGCGCGTGCGGGGTGAACTGCGCCCCGGCTGCTCCCCCGGAAGCCCGGCCGTGGGTCCCACCTGCTGCCAGGAGCAGCCGCCCGAGGGCCGCGCCTTGGGGGGCGAGTCTCCCCCACCCTCGCATTCCACAGCGGGGAAACTGAGGCCCGGAGCAGCCGGGAGGTGGCACCGCCGCGCGGGGGTCCTGGGCCGCCCGGAAAGCCCGCGCACGGCGGGTGTGGACCCGGGTGTGGACCCCGGAGCAGCCGCGGGGCCCGGGTGGGGCGGCCGAGGTCTCCAGGCCCCGCGTCCCGCCCGCCCCGCGCCGCTCACCTGACCGCCGCCGCCACCGCCGCCGCCGCGCGTCCGCCCGGCCTCCCCGCTCCCGGCCCCGCCCGCCGCCCGGCCGCGCCGTCCACACCCGCGCGCGCTGCTGCCGCCCCCGGCGCGGAGGCTCACTGCACACGGACGGCCCGGCCGCCGCCGCGCAGAAGGCCTGGCTGGAATCCGAGCGTCAGCGCGCTTCTGTTGACTTTCGTTGTTCTGTCCGAGACGGAGCCTTGTTCTGTGGCCCGGGCTGGAGCGCAGCGGCGCGATCTCCGCCTCCCGGGCTCGAGCGCGCCTCCTGCCTCAGCCTCCCGAGCAGCCGGGACTACGGGCGCCCCACGCCCGGCTAAGTCCTGTGGTCTCCGTAGAGACCGGGTTTCACCGTGTTGGCCAGGCTGGTCTCGATCTCTTTTTTTTTCTTTTTTTTTTTTTTTTTTGAGACGGAGTTTCGCTCTTGTTACCCAGGCTGGAGTGCAATGGCGCGGTCTCGGCTCACCGCAACCTCCACCTCCTGGGTTCAGGCAATTCTCCTGCCTCAGCCTCCTGAGTAGCTGGGATTACAGGCACGCGCCACCACGCCCAGCTAGTTTTTTTTTATTTTTAGTAGAGACGGGGTTTCACCATGTTGACCAGGATGGTCTCGATCTCTCGACCTCGTGATCCACCCGCCTCGGCCTCCCACAGTGCTGGGATTACAGGCGGGAGCCACCGCGCCGGCCACACGCGCTTTTTAGAAAATGGGTGGCTTTTAGCTTCTCTTTGTAAACCCCAGTGGTTGAGAAGAAAAAAGGAACCGAGAGCCGCTGTGTGCGCCGGCTGCCACCTGCGGGCCCCGCGGGGGCCTCACGGCTGGTGACGGAGGGACTCCGGCCCCTCCACCCTCTCCGCAGCGGAGGACGCGCGCCAGGGCTCAGGACCAGCTCCGCGGGGGTACAGCTGGCTCTGTGGGCCTGCCATGACTCCTGCTTTCCCAGTGTTTCTGCAGGAGACGGGCTGCTGCTCCCCGCCCCCAGAGCCCCACTCCTACCTTCTCAGGTGGAAGACTCTTCACCCGCCACCCCTGTGCCCGAAGGGAGGGGCTGAGGACAGATGAAGGCCAGCATACGGGTTTGGTGCCCTTGCCCTGAGCTCCGGGACTCAGTTTCCCCTCTGTAGAAGGGTGTGGCTTTTGCTGCCTCTGGCTTGGCCTGCCTTGGTGATGACAGTGCCAGTAACTGTGGCCTCCCACGTGGGAAACACAGGCCATCTCATTTAACCCTGTAGAAGCCTGGGGCCAGCAGTCACCTACAGGACAACCGACTCCATCAGCTTCACCAAGGCCACATTGCTCAGACAGGGTGGGGTGAGATTCCACCCCAGCTCACACCCCAGATCCGGACACTGCTCCCGCATCTGCTCAGACCCAGAGGGGACTGCACTGGCTGCACTGTCGCTGCTTTGAGGTCCCCAGTCCTAGAGATTCCACTTCCACCTGGCCTCTCTCCCAGCTCCTCTGGCAAGCCCTTCCCTATCCTCAGCTCCCATCTGGGCCCCACAGTACATCCTCCGCCTGGGAAGAAGTCAGCCTCCACCTTCACCTCCAGGCTCCTGCTCTCCAACAAGCCAGGTCCACCCTCCCACTGGGCCCCTGCCTGGGTGAGCCTCCGATGACCCAACACCTCCTCCTGGCCTCTGCTCAGTGGCCCTCGGTGATCCCTGGGAGGTAGAGCCCTTCCCCTCATCGTCTCCCTCCTGTCTGATGTCTTCTGTTTTGCACATTTTTATGTATTATTTCTTCCCCCAACTGGGGCCCTAACCACCATAAAGCTGAGAGTGCAGGCAGCATTTTGTTGGCTGTCTTTACTGCTTGCCAGTGCGGGGACACAGCGAGTGCTTCCTTACATGGACTCGGGAAGGACTGACTTCCCAGTCAAGGCTGGCCCTGAGGAAAGAGATTCTGCTCAGCAGGTGCCACTGCACAAATGCGTGTTAGAACCAGTCGCTGATCTGAACAAGGGTCTACAAAAGCAATGGGGACCCTCCTCCAAGGAGAGACAAAGATAACCCCACACTCCACACACGGTTTAAAGTCTCCTTTCTTAATTAGAAAGTGTCGGCCAGGTGGGGTGGCCCCTGCCTGTAATCCCAGCACTTTTGGAGGCCGAGGTGGGAGGATTGCCTGACCCCAGGAATTTGAGGCTGCAGTGACCCACTCCATGCCAGCAAGACCTTATCTCTATAAATAAATAAATAAACAAGCATAGAGTGTGTCATGACCATCTCTCTGTAGACATTCAACAACGCATTTTTTAAAATTTTCTAATTTTACATGTTTATTTTAGGACAGAGTCTTACTCTGGCACCCAGGCTGGAGTGCAGTGGCTCAATCTCACCTCACTGCAACCTCCACCTCCCAGACTCAAGTGGTTCTCCCACTTCAGCCTCCTGAGTAGCCAGGATCACAGGGAAGTGCCACCACCTGGCTAATTTTATTTGTATTTTTATAGAGACAGGGTTTTGCCACATTGCCCAGGCTGGTCTCAAACTCCTGGACTCAAGTGATCTACCCACCTCAGTCTACCAGAGTGCTGGGATTACAGGTGTGAGCTGCCACACCTGGCCCTATTTTATTCTTATTTTTTTCTTTTTTTTTTGAGACGGAGTTTCGCTCTTGTTACCCAGGCTGGAGTGCAATGGCGCGATCTCGGCTCACCGCAACCTCCGCCTCCTGGGTTCAGGCAATTCTCCTGCCTCAGCCTCCTGAGTAGCTGGGATTACAGGCACGTGCCACCATGCCCAGCTAATTTTTTGTATTTTTAGTAGAGACGGGGTTTCACCATGTTGACCAGGATGGTCTTGATCTCTCGACCTCGTGATCCACCCGCCTCGGCCTCCCAAAGTGCTGGGATTACAGGCTTGAGCCACCGCGCCCGGCCACCTTTACTGTTTTGTTTTGCTTCAGATGTGGTTGCCCAGGCTGGCCTCAACCACCTGGGCTCAAGTGATCCTCCTGCCTCAGGCCCCTGAGTATCTGGAACCACAGGCCTGCACTGCCATGCCCAACTAATTTTTGTATTTTTTATAGAGACAGGGTCTTGCCATGTTGCCCAGGCTGGCATCCAACTCCTGAACTCAAGTGATCTGCCTGCCTTGGCCTCCCAAAATTCTGGGATTATAGGCATGAGCCACCACAATTATTGAGCACCAGCTGTATGCCATGTTCTCATCAAAGCAGTGGGGCACAGTGGCGAAAAAACAGACAAGGTCCCATCACTCAAGGGTCCAGACAGTAAGCAAAGAAGCAGATTAATCAGAGATAATGAGCACCAAAAGGGAAATAAACAGTTTGACGAGACAAGGGCTGCAATCAGAGGACAAAGATGCTTGCGCCAAGACTCCAAGGGTCGGAAGGAGCGAACCACTGAAAAGCGTTACCGTGAACCCTAAGTTTCTCTTCAAAGAATCAGTATGTCAGTATGTTCAGCTCTCTTATTCTTTGAATCTCTACTTCCGTGTAATTCCAATAGACAACCTTCTCCACTGGTTCCTCAGTAGTTCACACCTGCTCCCCCTACCCCCTCCATCCTGACTTGTCCTGGTCACCTGATCACCCCGGCTACCTGCTCTGACACACTGGTAACTGTCCTTCCCGCCAAAACACCTACCCTGCCACTCCAGCTCGGAAGCCTGTTCTTTTTAAAATAGCCACTTGGGATTAGTCTATCTTGTGCGGTTTAACCCGATCCAACAGGGGGTGACAGCAGCAGGGACAACTCCCGTCAGGCTTAAGTACACCTTCCCCTTGTCCAAGCATGCAGCGGCCACTGCTCCATCCGTGCGCCACACGCTCCAGTGGAAGTAAACTGCCTTGCTGAGAGGACTGATCTTGGAGTGCTACTTCTGTTGTGGCATCAAAATTTTACTTATAACAAGTGGAAGGGGCATCCAGGTGGAAAGAGCAAGTACAAAGGCCTGGAGGAACTGAAAGAGCCTCTGGTGACTGAGGAGCTGGAAGCAGGTCCCTGTGGATGGCGCTTCGCACAAGGTGAAGTGAGGGCAGGGGACCAGAGACGGGAGGCTGAGCAGATGGTGAACCCGTTGGCCTTGGTTGGTGGTGAGACTGGAGCCATTGGAAATTTCTCTCTTTTTTTTTTTTTTTGAGACAGAGTCTCACTCTGTCGTCAGGTGCCATCTCAGCTCACTGCAAACTCTTACCTTCTGGGTTCAAGCCATTATCATGCCTCAGCCTCCCAAGTAGCTGGGACTACTGGCGTGCACCACCACACCCAGCTAATTTTTTGTATTTTTAGTAGAGATGGGGTTTCACCATGTTGGCCAGGATGATCTCCATCTCTTGATTTTGTGATCAGCCCGCCTCGGCCTCCCAAAGTTCTGGGATTACAGGCATGAGCCACTGCACCTGGCCTCTCTTAACTCTTTTTTTGAAATGGGGTCTCACTCTGACGCCCAGGCTGGAGTGCAGTGGTACAGTCTCGACTCACTGCAGCCTCAATCTCTTGGACTCAAGGGATCCTCCTGCCTCGGCCTCCCAGGTAGCCAGGGCTACAGGCACACACCACCACACCTGGCTAATTTTTGTATTTTTAGTAGAGATGGGATTTCACCATATTGCCCAACTGGTCTCAAACTGAGCTCAGGCGATCCACTTGCCTTGGCCTCCCAAATTGCTGGGATTACAGGCATGAGCCACCACAGTCTCTCAATAGCTTCAATGAGTATAATCAACATACAATAAACCACACATGTGCACCAAAAAGCTCCCCAAACAAAAACCCACACATGTTTAAGGGTACAACTGGGTAGATTTTGACATGTATGTGCACCTGAGAGACTCAGACCATGATCAGAGATGTGATGAGCACCCAGAAGGAAGGCGAGCAAACCATCCTCCATCAACAGATGAAAGATAAAGAAAATGTGGTACTGGCCGGGCACGATGGCTCGTGCCTGGAATCCCAGCACTTTGGGAGGCCAAGGTGGGTGGATCACCTAAGGTCAGGAGTTTGAGACCAGCCTGACCAACATGGGGAAACC